CGTTGGCCAGACACACCATCAGCAACAACGAACTGTGGGAGAGAACGAACCAGATTCCAGTGGAGGAGGAAATCAGGAAGAAGCGGTGGAAGTGGATAGGACACACATTGTGGAAAGCACCTAACTGCGTCACGAGACAAGCCTTCACATGGAACCCTCAAGGCAAAAGGAAAAGAGGAAGGCCAAAGAACACATTACGCCGAGAAATAGAGAAAGATATGAGAAAACTGCACAAAAATTGGACAGAACTTGAAAGCGAAGCTAAGGACAGAGTAGGGTGGAGAATACTGTTAGGCGGCCTATGCTCCATTGGGGGTGACAGGCGTAAGTAAGTAAGTAAGTAAATCTCACACAACCTTAGCGAAACACGATGAGATTAACAAAATCAATGTCAAATAACTCAAATTAATAACTGCAGTAATGGACAGTAAGTTAGAAAGTCTGAGCACCGAGAATGTGCAACGACCATGCACTGTCATCTCAGATACAACCACGTCACTGTGACATGACTGATTCATATTGGTCACGTCTTTTCTGTAGGAGTTGGTACATAACCTCGAGGTTGTTCACCATAAGTATATGATATGTACATGATATGGAACACTTCACATCCGTCATGGTATTTTTGTCCAATCTGTCTGATCGTACTTTTTAAATTAAATCCGTGACACAAACTACAAACTAATCAGTATTCACAAATATTCTACAGTCTTAACAATAAATGCTAACGTCAAACACTTACATAAACTGATTTAGATGTATTTTCACTGTCACCATCTAGAACTGGTTCACAATTCGATAATTTTCTTGCTTTCCCATTCATCACACGTTGATATACTTCTGAATTAGATTCATAATTGTTTTGACCATTGAAAATCGGTGCTTTCTCATTGCCGATTCCATGATTGCCACTAGCATTTGTAAACCCACACACAGCAGCAGCAGCAGCAGGTTGTGTGGGTAAATGTTCCGGCATGGCGACATGTTTTGCATTAGATTGACTAAATACATTTCTCAATTCCAATAATTCCTCCTGTGAATAATTTTAAATTCAGACAAATGCAGTAATAGTAATAATTACGGTGAATATCAATTTGATTGCAAATCGGTTCATTAGGTTAAGTGTGTTAGGATATTCATCCAATATCCTAAGAGAATTTTCGGTCTATTCCTATTGGTTGATATTTCTACTGATCAATTTTATGGTCGTCCTAGATATCAATGTCACGTGATCCAATGTTGTTTCTTATTGGCTGTCCTGACTATCATTGTCACCTCAAATGTTACTTCCTATTGGTCGTCTTAACTGTCAATGTCACAGAATTCGATGCTGTTTGCTATTCGACCAAAATGTTTAAATAAGCATTATGTGTAACGTTTTCCGATCAGGACCAGGACCCGGTCCCGCATCCTTAGTCAGGGGTCCTGATTCTCTTCTGGACTCGGACCTCGTACTTGCTGGATGCTTGTAGAATACAAGTTCTACTTCGTATCAAATCTTCTTATTTTAGCAAAATATGGGGGGTTGGAATAATTGGATTTGAGTAGCATGTCGTGTCGCCGGATCCTCGATCCTCGCTCTCGCGTTTCCGACTAGGTAAACTCGTAATAGTTCAAGTATATCAAGATGACGTGTTTACGTGCAGGCGTAACAAGTGATATGTGTCAAGGCTATCATCATTAGTTGTAAAGTAATGAACGAAACTCGCGAGATCAGCCTCAATAATTTGCATACCTTTGTAAGCACTCCCTTGCAATTCTTTAGTAATATCTGTCTATTGTTCTGTCTGTCTTATTGTTTTTAATATACATAGGGTTAATAAATGGAGCTATTGCTTTGCTCGTCAGCTGATATGCTTGAATCTATTATGAGTTCTCCTTAGTTGGTAAACGAGAGGAAAGACAAATGATCCAGGTACACGATAGGCTATTCTAATCCAAGCGTCCCAAGGCCCCACTAAGTAGATGATGAAGTCTTGATATGGCGTAGAAAGTGTATTTTACAAGCACCCAGAAAATATGAGGTTTTCACAAGCACACAAATCGAGCTTGTTATTATACATCATAGAAATGTCCTTCGGTGAGCCACAAAAATAGCGTACTAAAATAATAAATACATCAACCAATAACCGTCAAGGATTTCCAGGTGGGACATTTCCCACCCAAGGTTAACTGATCAGCCCATGCGCCAAAACATAAAATCCAAAATTAAGACCTTTATCAAGTGAGTTCTGGGGATCTAACGTCCCATAACAGCTATGAACATTTGGAAGCTAACTTGTTGGCAATCAGTGTATATACTTTTATTGTGTATCTATCAAACTATTGATCTCTAGTATTTTATTTTAACTGATAAGAAATTCGTGATCCATCACAAATCCAACCCCCGGTGATCACATGATTTAGGTAGCCAGTCAATCAACAATCAAACCATGCATGGGAAGGTTACCCCTCTCACTAAGTACAAACTCTTGCTTCAGAATTGTTATGCACGTGAAACAGACGAGTATAAAGTAGAAATGTCCTTCTTCCCACTAATAGCATGCGTATAATGCACAGCGTGTACTTATCAAACCGTTCATTTGTGATGATACTTTGATATTATCTATTTTCGTTCATTATGTACTGATAACTAGTTTTAAACCAATCAGTGGGATTGTAACAAAACGATCCAAACTCCGTGCCTACTATCAGTTAGCTTGTGTCGCGAACCTATCTGTATACCTATAATCATGTGAAGTTTAGGCTTATCAGCAATAACAATAATAATAATAATCTTTTTAGAAAGTTGAATAATTTCGCAACCGAAACAGGTCACAGGTCAAAAATATCCCAACTGATATAAACTATATGCGATGATCATTTCTATGTACACTAAAATCATAATGCTGCCGCCATGCCACCACACATTCATTACCTGGACTTTTTCTGTTTTTTCTAAAAGTTCACTTCTTAATTGTCGACATTCTTGTCGTAAACTACGAAGTTTCTTATTGGTCTTATCAATTTCTTGTTTGTAATTACTTCGCAACATATCCAATTCAGATTCTAAATGCTGAAAAAAAAAACAATATAGGCGATTTTTTATTTTTCAAAAATCAATCAATAATGTGTGTATTTTATTTTAAACTTTTACAAAAATCTAAATAAATTTAAATTAAGTTGTTGACATCAACCAACAAGAAGGAATGGTATTCTTCAACTTTCAGAAAAACTGTTGTGTTCTGAGATCATGTTCAAACCTACCCCTACTACCCGAAGTAAAATAGGAAAACCATATCGTAAACCGTTGTTAATTTGCAAATCTTCAATCCATCATCAATCCATTGTCTGACATTTCACTTATTCATGCGTTTCATACAAATTCCATTGTGTTCCCACTCTTCTCTTATTGTTGATCTTCCCTCATCTTCTGCTGCCAGACATTACGTTTACACTCGCGTCATATACTACTTATAAGTAGCGCGCACCACAACAGTAATGAACAATGACATTGAGACATTTTGGGAACAGCTTTACTTCTTGCCGAATTTCGGAGTAACGGTTTAGTCAGTACTAAAAATCTGGACAGTGTGGATTGATGGTCATCATATTTTGGGTTGATAGATTTGGAACTTTGTACATGAAATATTTTATTGATACAGTTATTGTCAAGGTCAAAATCGACCAGTTCTCTTAAAGATTTTCAACTCCATAACACATTATTCATTTTCCTAATGATCTCGCTTTATAGTAGCTTAGTTTCTAACACAAACATATTTCATTTTGTTCGGAACTGATTAACTATGAATGAACTGGCCTATTAGTAAAAATTATGAATTCTAAGTTGAAATCGATTTAACTAAAAACAATGAAGTAACTGACTGTAGGATTGATCAGTGTAAGTAGGTGCAAACTATGTTTTGGGCGTCTGTACCATTTTCGTGTTCTGTGACATGGTTGAGCATCATTTGCGACGTTACAGGGAAGATTTACTCTAAAATCATTTATGCACCCCATTGTTATCATGATCATGTATTTTTCATACCATAAAACTGTACTCGCCTCACGAAGTATATCGTCTGTATGTTATTATTTCTGTCATTAATACCTTCATCATTACTAGTATTACTGCTACTGTTGCTAATTCTGTTACTCTTGGATCTATCTTTATGATTTCGTTCTGTAGCGAGTAAGTTTTCTGTGGGACGGGGTCGCCAATCCAACGTCTAACCCTGTTCCTTTATTAGGGCTTGAGACTGGCAGTAGCCTGAGAGGGGCTTCAGGCGGAGCATTCATACAATCGAAGAACATTCGCAACTCGAAACGACTATCAACCAGCAGCAAAAAATTCACAAATTTCAATACAAATATCAAGACATATCAACTGTATAGGGTAGAAACTTGAAGAACCGCAAAAGCCATCATTCACAAGATACAGGTGTTGTCTGCTCAAAATACTGAGGTTTGGTTGGCAAGACACTATCAGCAATGACCTACTCTGACAGAGAATAAACTAAGTTCCAGAAGACAGGGAAATCAAAAAAATCTGGAGGTGAACGGAACACACATTGAGGAAATCACCAAACTGTATCACGAGGCAAGCCCTCGTTTGAAATCTTCAAGACCAAAGGAAAAGAGGAAGACTTAGGAACATGTTACGCCGAATACTAAAGACAGACATTAGAAGAATGAATAGCAAGTGAAGGAAACTGGAAAAGAAGGCCTAGAACAGCGTAAGTTAAAGAATACTGGTCGGCGGCCTATGTTCTATTGAGCGTAACAGGCGTAAGTAAGTAATGTGCTCATGTGATGTGACATGAACCGATGCACATGGAAACCGGGTTTCACTATGTACATAACTAATCTAAGTGACACTGACATTAACTCCACTGTCCATTATACAAACTTTCCAAGAAATAAGTGCTCAAACTCTACGAGAAACCTTTCACTTCATTACACAACTTCTTGTAAATTTGCGCTACTTTAAGTTGATGCAAACTTTAAAATCAGTATGAATTCTTCGTGTTCTACAAATCTTGTGATTTGTACAATGTCCAAGTTTATTAACCAGCTGATTTGTACCCAATGTTTGAATAAAACAAAGTATCTTATTACTAAGGAAAAGCAAAAATAATATGCGTACCGAATTCTTTTTCTTTTCTTCTTGTAATTCTATGGAAATATTATGAAGTTGTTCATTTCGTTTTTGTGGTATCATTGATCCTTCATCAGTGTATTTTGGCTGATGATGCCTTTCACTAGGTCGTTTTTCTAATACACAAATACGTCGTTGTAGTTCATTGATTTTTCGTTTTTCAGCACTTGACTCTAATGCTTTCTCATGCAATCGAAATCGTAATGTACGTATTTCTGCATTCAGACGATCAACAACTTCTGGCATTTCAGCTTCACGTGCTACAGCCTGAATTAGATGAAAATATTGATTGTTTGTGATTTCAGTTAGTGTTTTTGATTTTAAAGAAAAGGAGATAAAGCAAAGTTATAAAATCGACAACAGTTAAAATCATTTTTTTACTTCAGTGTTGATCGAACTGCCTTCGATTGATGACCAAATAGCAAACATCATTCAATACCGGTTTGTTATTGAGTCAGTCAGTTACAGCGTGGAACTTCGTACGTAGGTACATCAGTTAAGGTTGCCATAACGCGTTAGAACACAGACGCAACTGTCAGTTCAAATCACATAGTGATAGCGATAGTAGAAGTATTAGCGGTAATGGAGAAGATTAGCTTTAGAAGATATAATTCGAGAAGTATAAATCAGTGAGTAAAGTTTAGAAAGAGAACGAAAGAGATGATGAGGAATTCAGAAGGTTAGAATTTGAGAGAACACAAAGAGTGGATGCACCTGCTCAATCGCAAACGCTTTTGAGCCATTTCATCCAAGGTCTCTAACCATCAGTTACTTTCGTCTCACGGACCTCAACCAAGAATTCAACACCTACCGTCAGTCCACTGGTCTGTGACGTCACGGATTTTTGCCATGTTTTTGTTTGGCCGCCCATAGGTTTTTTCCAACCTACATTCCCA